GGGATCTTTTCCTGAAGCACTTCTTGGCTGTTACCATCAACTTTAAAGCTAGCCTCAACCAGAGCCAGAGCCTTTTCAGCTTTGACACCGGCCTGGTGGAACACTCTCCCAAGAGAGATCCAGGCCCCGTGAGACCTAATGCAGGGCCTGTAAAGCAGAGATGTTCCACCAGGCCTATGGCGGAGGCGGTAGTGACTTATCAGTACTGGCCTGCCCCGAGAGTTTTTCTATCTTATATTGTTTTACTCATCTGCCGTCCCCCATATTATTAGTTACCATCTACTGTGCATAGATGTGAAATTGATGCGGGAGCAGTGGTATTAACTGGCACTATAAATGATATCACATTTGGATTTTAACAACTGTTGATGTTACTCTAATCATTTTATTGTATTTTATTATACTGTTGTAACCCGCCCTGAGCCCTGTGGCACAGGGGAGGGCAGGACAGAAATCCAATAAATAGATAGATAAATAAATAAATAAATAAGTGCCTGCCAAGAGCAATCACTACATTTGTACCACTACAAAATCCATGCATGCATGTTTTACCTTTTTTTCCCCCCCTTTGCAAAATTTCATGTTCAAGAAAGAAGTTCAGAATTGGTGTAAGAATAGCTAAAGTAAATGGTTGTCCAAGAAAGGCAGTTAAGTGGGTGAGATTGGTTGGCCCATGTGACATCTGATGTCACATGGGACTGCTTCATATTTCCATCGCCAAATCTCCATAATGTCCCTTATTACATTTAGGCAAAGCTAGACTGAAATTTCAATACACCAACATGAAAGCCCCTTTTAGTTTGCATTTTACTTCCAGACTTTTGACCATTTTTTTCCTTTGATAAGCATAGGTAGACCTTCACTGAACTTAAGCCTTAATTTACAAGTGCTGTTTTCTTCTGAAAGGCATCATAGTGAAACTGGATGCACTGTCTATACAATGGCCACTACTCACATTTGTTTAATTACTCGGCCAGTGCCAGGAATGAGGACAATGCTTCTTTGATCTGTATGCTGAGCAAGCTCTTCATGAGATGAAAATTCTGCTTGCTTCTTATTTATCTAACCCTATAAATACCACTTGGCTACCATCAGACACCATGAGCATTGCTGGAAAAAACTAGCACATTCCAAAAGTAGTAAGAAACTGCCAAGTAGGGATGTGCATTTGGATATATACCAGTGAAACCGCTTATCAGTGTTTCTGGGTATATTTGAGTATCCAGAGTGGCATTCAGGGTTCTTGGGAATACTGCTATCTGGGTCTCATATATTTCTGGAAATATTCAGGAATATTGGGGGCTGGTATTTTAAGGACCCCAAGTTTGTTTCCCCCCCCCCAATTAACAGGTTTCCTGGGCAATGGGACAGCGGCTCGAGGACAGCACAAGCCAGATGCAGAACCCCGCAGAACTGTGGGTCTGGCTGGCTCCTTTTCCTTCCCTCCCTCCTTTGTGGAGGGGCCTTTTTCCAGGGCCACTTTTTCCTCCCAGTCTGCACAGCTGCGAGTAATATGACTGGACAAACCTTGCTCAGGGCCCGTGGAATTGTACCCCTTGGTCCAATTTGCTTGAAATTGGGGAGGGGGGGTGCCTTTAGAAAACGGCTCTTAGGATTGTGTCAAGATGCCTCGTCAGTTCATCAAGCTATCCCACTGCCTTATGAGGTAACAAAACACGGGACAGTATCTGATCTTATATTGGAGGAACTTTCTCCAACATAAATGATTCTTCCATTGACGGAAGTGGCTCTTCCATGAGAAGAAAAGCCACAAATTGGAGGGAGTCTCCTTAGGCTGGGCAGAAGGTTTCAAATCTTGCTTAGTGGGGTGACAGGCAACAGGCCACTCTGACATGGACGGCCTAGGCTAGCCCAATATTCCCAGATCTGAGAAGCTAAGCAGGGGTGGCCCTGGTTAGGTATTTGAAAGGGAGACCACCAGTGTTCCCTCTAAGCTGAGTTAGTGTGAGCTAGCACACAGTTTTTTTAGCCTCACGCTCACATACTTTTGTCTTAGCTCAGGAAGGATGGCTCCAGAGCAAACTAATTTATGCTCACAAAGTAGAATTTTTGCTCACAAGACTCCACAGCTTAGAGGGAGCACTGGAGACCACCAAGAAAATCCAGGGTCGCTAACAGGGTTGCCAGACCCCCGGCCCGGGTGGGGGTTTGCCCAATTTTGGGGGCTTAGATCCACCGCCGGCCAGCTGGCCTGCAGAGGAAGGCCCTCCCCTGAACAGGAATGTTGCCGGGCAATGTCCCGAATGTGATAACGTCACCTGGAAGTGATGTCATTGCATCGCTGATGTCGGGGGTGTGTGTGACGCTCTAGATTTTGGGCAAACTCTATGGTTTTGAAATCAAAAGCCCCCTGCTGGGTCACAGGTAGGGCCTTTCTCTATTTCACTGTTAAGAAATGCCAGTGCACAAGATCACTCTGATAGGGTAGAGACAAAGCATATCCACCAAATGTTGTCATTTTTATGATCTTGAGAACACTCCAACATACAACCCACTGGTCACCCTGTAGTTTCATTTCCCCCTCTAGAAAACTCAACCTATGTCAGATAGCTCCCAAGGTACCATTCCAACTCACATAATTTTAATCACGTTACTATTAAACCAGTAGTGTGAGTTAACATGGAACAAACCATATGAAATCAAATGCGGGAGGCTAAGAGAATTCAAGATTCTAGTATCTCTAGTATCCCCATGCTTATGTAACACACACATACGCACGCACGCACGCACGCACACAAAAAGAGCCGGTCTCTTAGTTCCTCCTCTCTAACGTCCTATTAATTTTTCCAGGAGAAACTAATCAAATATCTGACCTTCCTTTGCAGTCACATCATGTCATGGCCGGGATTCAAACTGCCATGATGAGAATGAAGTTGGAAAGGATCTTTGTTCTGAAGAAGCGAGCAGCAGTGACTCATGAAAGTCACTGATTTTGTTAGTCTTTAAGGTGCTACTGGATTCTTGCTCTTTTCTACTGCTACAGACAGACTAACACGGCTACCCATCTTTATCTTTGTCAGCCTTCCTTTCCAACAGCAGCTCTGCCCTCCGCCCCTGACAAAAGGTCAATATTGTAGGCGGTACCCTCAAGCACCACATGGGATGTGGTGTACCAGGCAGGAGGAATGAGCTGACATTCCCCCCCCCCTCTTGTGCAAGCTCTTGCTCCAGTTGAGAGAGGCTGGGGACGATATACTGCTGCCAAGGATCCCTCACCCTCCAACTTTCCAGGTGGGAGTTTAGGGCTGCATTGGGGGATCAGCACAGATCCCTTCCCTGAACTCCCTTTCATTCGCAGTAGTTTGGATCCAAGCCTAGAGATGAAGAAGAGATTGGATTTATAGACCGCCCTTCACTACCCAAGGGAGTCTCAGAGCGGCTTACAAACTCCTTTCCCTTCCCCTCCCCACAACAGACACCCTGTGAGGTAGGTGGGGCTGAGGGAGCTCTGATAGACACTGCTCGTTTTTCAAGAACAGCTCTTATGAGAACTACGGCTTGCCCAAGGCCATCCAGCCAGGTGCAAGTGGAGGAGTGAGGAATCAAACCTGGTTCTCCCAGATTAGAGTCCGCGCACTTAACCACTACACCGAACTGGCTGTTCAAGTGTTGCCTACATAAATTAGCAGAACATTCAAATTTCTGAGCACCGAAATATGACCCAGAGCCATTTGTAAAAAAAAATGGTCAAGTTATCAGGACAAGAGTGTAAAATGATAGAAATTTAGCTCACTGTGCTCCAAGAAGGTACCTATTGTGCTGAAATAACTGGGGGGGGGGGTTATTGGGTTGCTGAGGGGGGGGGTTGGCTTGTTCATAGCCGAAAATTATATTTTCAGGAACGGGGTTAAGCTAAATAATACCCGTAAGCAATGCAGAAGCCGTAATTACGCAGCCTTGCACTTACCATCACTGTAGCAGCGGCAGCGGCAGCCTGGGCCGCCACTGCGGCCTGGTTGGCTTGGTGCTGAGCAGCTTTGATTTTGGCCTGCAAGTGAGCAGGAGGGTGAAAATATTTGCATTTCTCCCTCATGCAGCGCCCTTTTATGTAATCCATACAAACAGTTACGGTGTTGTCATTTGTATCAATCATTGTGCTGTCTGCTGGATGTGCAAAGCGGCAGTCGGTTTCACCCCGTGCACAGTTTCCTCGCTGGAACTCCCTGCATACCTGGTGCGCAAAACAACATTTATTATGCATACTCAGTCAGCAGGGGAGGGGTGGGGCAGTCACAGACAGAACAAAAGGAGAAATAAAATAATAATAATTTTCAAACTGTATTCCACATCAAGTTACCTTTAGAGCAAGGGTCTCCAACGTAGTGCCCGTGGGTGGCATGGTACCCACTGATGCCTTTCCTGCTGCCCAGTGAGTGTTTTTAGAAAGTGGGGCCCAGTGAGGCCCAGTGGGGCATATACCCAGGAAGGGTTCTGATTGTTCACTGGCTATTTAATTGGCTGCGCAGATTTTTTGAAATGTTGCTTTGGCAGCAGCTGCCACCACAGCACAAGGTTCTTCACTTGTGTGACTGAAGGTAAGCTGTGGCGTCCATTTTGTGACGGGCTCCACCTCCTGTCGCAGCCACGGTCGCGGCCATTTTGTGGCTGTGCCCAGAACACTGTGTCGGAATGCCAAAACTCCCCGCAGGCTCAAAAAGGTTGGGGACCCCTACTTTAGAGGGCGTACTTTTATACCCAACTTGTGGTAGGGGGACCCAATTTTGGACTTGGATCCCACCGGCAATTTCTGTGCAGGGAAGGATTTCCATCCTTGGAAATGAGACTTCCCTGCCTCCCCCCTACCCTGAAATCCCACCCATCTCCCCAGATATGATGCTCCTAGAGCATAGAGAATCCCCAGAAAAAGCTGGGGGTGGATAAGAGGTCTGCCCCGGAAGGGAAGATTTTTTGGGGGGGAGAAAAACCCGCTAGGGTGGGAATTTTGTGTGGGACCCCACCCTTAATTCTGTATCTTATACAGTGCGTTTCTCCCTCTCTCTCCCCATCTTTTTTTTCCTTTATTCGCTTGTAATCCTCTCTTTGAGTGATGGTAATTGTGCTGTCGGTTCTACCCACCTTAGGTAAGGTCACAATCCGCCAGCTGAAGACTAGCAGCCTACATTTTTCTTCTCACTATCTGCATCCTTGGCATACTTTAGAAGATTTAGATGTTTTAATATTTACTCACAAACTTCAAGACCGTTTAAAGTTGTCTAAATATGGACTTGCCTTGGCCCGGATCACCAGGCTAGCTGGATCTTGTCAGATCTCGGAAGTTAAGCAGGGTCGACCCTGGCTAGTACTTGGATGGGAGGCCACCAAGGAACATCAGGGTTGCTATACAGGGGCAGGCAATGGCAAACCACCTATGTTAGTGGCCACTTCCACACTGTCACCTTTGTCACTCTTGTCCCTATTGCTTTCGGTCATTGTCCCTCCGTCCCCCTTTCCACATGTGTTTTACTCCCTCTGGGACTATCAGAGAGAGCAAAACACATTGGGGGGGAGAACCCTGAAGCAATAGGGACAAACAAGTGGCCACAGTTTCTTGCCTTGAAAACCCTACGAGGTTGCCATAAGCCACCTATGACTTGACGGCAAAAAAAGAGAAAGACTCAAAACCTATATGCCTCTCTAGAATCAGCACTGAAACCTTCTTCCGTTGCTCCCACTTTGCTGCTGGTACAGCCTGTTAGAAATGGGTGGAGGCCAGTGCAAAGAAATGAGCTAACTTTTCCTTTTACTATCTGCGTAGCAGCAAGCAGCGCTGGAGAGAATAAAGGAATACCCCCCCTCCCAAGTCCTGCTACCCACTGGCTCACTTTCGGACATTCACACTACTCCACCTACCTTATCTTCACCTACATCTAAATGTTCTTTACCCGTTTACATGCCAAGAGGTTGGGTGGAAGTGTAAGACCTTTCCAAACACATTGCCGTTGTTCCCCTCCCACCCCGAGAAACCATTTTGCAATCTTGCTAAGCTGACTTAACAAAGAGCCAAAGTGCAAAAAGTTTTCCCTTGTCCGTACTTTCTGCATTTATTAGGCGCTTTCACCATAAAGGACCCAGCACCATCAATGTGGGCTGGGACCCACATAACTAAGGGACCACCTCTCCCCATAAATGCCTCAGGGAGCCTTGTGCTCCACTGACCAAGAGGTTGTCCCTGGCCTAAGGGACATCCATTTAGCCTTGACCAGGGCCAGGGCCTTTTCTGCCCTGGCCCCGGCCTGGTGGAACATGCTCCCATGTGAGCTCAGAGACCTCTGGGACCTTTTACCATTCTGCAGGGCCTGAAAAATTGAGCTGTTCCGCCAGGCCTTTGGGTGAGGCGATGGGTGTCCAGGAAAAAAGCTGCCCCCCCCCCGCGCTGAAGATATTTCCTTATGCAGCCTGGACTATGCAGCCTTGGAATCCAGTGACACCAGTACTGGGGACTGTACAAAACTGATGTGTATTGTCTTAATGTTGTTTTAATGATTTTAATTATTATTATGACTATGTTGTTGTGATGCTGTAAAGCCTAAATTTTGATTGTAATCCGACCTGGTCCCGTTCGTTGGGAGGGCGGACTATAAATGTGAAAATTAAATTAAATTAAAATGCAATCCAAAGATCGTATAATATTTAAAAATATAGCATATACCCATCCAATTACTATGCCTTCGGTCATTCTCATAGACAGGAGCACATAATCAGGTAAAACAAATCAGACAGGTGGCTCTTTAAACACGCTGTGCTATAACTGCTGCCAAATATTTGGCTACCTGTACACAGCCACTCAGTTTCTACGTCTCTTAATAAACAAGAAATTTTCTCATCTGGGGAATCAAAGCCAGCTCCAAGTGATGGGAGAATTAAGTTTGAGCTTGAATCTAAAAATATAGGACAATCTAGTACTATATGGTCAATGGAATCTATTCAATCTGAACTGCAGGTACATAATCTATCCAACAATAGTATACCTTGGTATCTTCCCATTAAAACTGCAGACGGCAATGCATTTAGCCATGCTAACTTCAATGCCCTTCCATACCTTGGTACTGTAAATATATCATATACAATGATACAGTTGTTTCCCACGGCAGCTTAAGAATTAAACTTTGTTGGTCTTAAAGGTGCCACTGGACTCCAACATTTTTCTGTTGCTTCAGACCAACATGGCTTCCCACTTTAATTTATTTCCTGCTAGTACAGGATAGGCAGTGTATTTACAGCTTCTATGCTGAGCAGAAACAGAGGTTCTTGCTGAGCAGCAATAAGAGGTACTTGTTTCTGTGTGCCAAAAAAACACATTTTCTTTCTTCTTCTTTGCCTACCAAGTATTAAATGCATGCATCAGCAGAATGACGCCTGCCATACCTCCAGTTTGTCTGTCCTGAGGAGCTTTTGTGTTGTCGTGGACCCAGGAACTGTGACAGGGGGACTTCCAGGAACAATTACTTGTTGCGTGGGAACAATTTCAGTAGGAACTAATCCAACCCCGGGAGTGACAGATGTTAAATACGGTGCAAAGCTTAATGCTGTGTTGGTTCCTATTGTCGGCCCTACAGGAAAGGAGGGCTAAGAGAGAGAAGAGAAAGAGAAAGCGAAAAATGTGTAAAACAGGAAAGCAGAGTTCTCTCTTGTCGTTTAATTGCTTTAATTTTTCCACACCCACCTGTTTAGTTGTAAAGCCGAGTTTCAAATGAATGAAGTAAACATACTAAATATAGTTCACTGGTCTAAACTGGCTGTATTTTGAGCCTGGATACTGATTTTCAGATCAGCATTTCTGTTGTGGAGATGTATTATCAGCACAGGCATTGCGGGTCTCCAGCAATGAGTGATTCACACATTGCACACTTACATTTCCACGGCTGCAACAGTTCACACAGGAGAATCGTTCAGCACAAACACCGCTCAGACAACAGCAGGAGTCCATGTTGCAGCAAAGCAGTTAGCAGGCCCTACAGGCTGCTGCCTATCATTCAGACAAATTATCGTTCTTAAGGAGGAACGAACCAGAAGACAAGCTGGGTCAAAACAGCATGGGATCGCTGCAAAGTTTAAGACACCCTGGGGATTTGCTGTAGAAAAATGGCTTAAAAATGGCTTAATATGACAGAAGGAAGTACGCAGCTGCAACTTCCAGAAGACAGTTGCTGGAAGAAGGTATTACACAGTGCGTGTAACCTCAGGGCTCTCACCATGCAGAATTGCTGGGTGTTTCCAAACAGATATAATTTCATTGGAAAATCCTTTTAATAAACAGTTTGAAAATCATTACTTGCATGTCTAACATTAGAATATATCACATTCTGCTGACATGGTGGCTACTGTTACAAAGTCCAACCATTCTAAAATAGACATGAAAGTGTAAACTTTGACCTCACCTTATTATATAAACAGTTCAGCTTGCAGATTCTTAGAACCAACAGGGGTGGGGGAAAGGGTGCAGGCACAAACACCAAAATGTACAATAAATATGGAGAAACAGAACACAATCAAGGGGTAAGCTGTTGCTTAAGCTTATATTAAGTGAATGGAACGTTTACAGGGCAGTCCTAAGCAGAGTTAAACCCTTCCAATTCCACTGAAGTCAATTACCTTCCAGGGATGTAACTCTATTTGGGATGGAACTGTTAATGGCACATAGTTGGCATGATCTTTCGTGAAATCAATCTTTTTAATCTGCCTCCAGTCCAGAGAACTACAGTGCAATCCTAAACGGAGTTACGCCCTTCTAAGCCCATTAACTTCAACAGGCCTAGAAGGGTATAACCCTGTGTAGGATGGCTCTATTAATCAGAACTACAGATCATTGTACATGACGGCACACTAAGCTTACATGCTTTCAATTAGACTAGAGAAGGACAGGGGTAAGTTACATATTGAGAAATGCAAAGGTGTTATCCAGACTTTATTGCACATATCCCAATGACTGGAGGTTTTTTTTGGGGGGGAGACTAACAATGATGCATTCTTCCTATTTGGCTCCAGAGTTAACGTTTTCCTCATGAAGAAACAACTTTTTTTCCCTGTTAGTCCTGCAGACATCTGTTGTACAGATATGTCTGAAATCATGATAATAAAATTGTAAAGGATTATTGACAAGGGTGCCAATATGAAATGCAAGTCCATTGCATCTTTATCTGTTACAATTTCTACATGTCAACTGTTTTGTGGTCTAATTTAAGATTTTCACAATAATTTCAGAACCAAACTGGGGGGGGGGGGAAACACACCCTTCAGTGCTCACTGCTTCTACTAAAAATTAATTCAAATTATGTTAATAGCATTAATTAAACTTTGCAGACTGTAAATGTATGTTGCAGATCAGCTACAGTACTGTAAGATCATATGCTTTCAGCAACAGCCTTAATCATGAATAAATTGCCTGGCCCTAGAAGTATCACAATGTCCCCAAAACGTTGCAATAGTTAATATATACAGAAAATGCTGAGGTTTTCCTTTCTTTAAAAAATCATAAAACAGCCTGTAAAATTTTCTTCAGCAGATTTCATAAACGCAGCCCAAAGGTAATGTACAAGTGAAGCTGAAAATACTGCATTCTCACAATGCCTTTGACAGGTTAGTTGGGACTGGCTTATGAAGCCAGCACAAATTGGCTATCGTTTCTTGAAAGGTACTTACCACCGGCTGAAGTGGTGTTCCTGGGAACATAAATTGCATCTGCTGCGCTAGCATTGCTGCTGCAGTTTTCTGTTGGATCAAGTTGTTCCTGCCATTAATTTCTAGCTGAGTTTTCAAATGTGTTGGTGGATGAAGGTATTTGCAGTTCTCTCTTGTGCAACGACCCTGCAAAATGGTATATTATTATCTGTTTTTGGCATTTTTTTTTTAAAAAAGCATCTGCAACGGTTTAGTGTTTCAGAGGAATCAGATGGCTGTCTGGACAGCAGCGACTTCCTTGGCTTATATCCAAGATGTCACATCCCCATTTAATCACATTACACAGAAACTGGTTCAAATGAAATCAGTTAAGACTTATTTCAGCGATCATCAGCTGCGTAACAAAGTGACACTTCTGCCATCAGAGTCTCGACTGCACGCTGTATGGTAGGGAGGGAGAGATGGAAAGTTACAGGAGAATGGCTTGGATCCGGACAGCTTTTCCCAATCAATCTCACCCAGTTCCACCGTGTGGTGGTGGAAAGTGCTGTCAAGTCTCAGCTAACTTAAGGTGACCCTGTAGGGTTTTCAAGGCAAGGGACATTCAGAAGTGGTTTTCCATCGCCCGCCTCTGGGTATCAACCCATCCAAGTACTCACCAATCCAAGTACTAACCCTGCTTAGCCAGTCTGGCCTATCCAGGTCCCAGGGCTTTGTCCATGTGGGTCTCCTCATTCCATGCAGAGCCTCTTTGAGTGGTCAAAAGTGACCCCTCCCTCCCTTTTCCACCAGAGGAAACGCTGGCTGGATCCAACATTGTCTGGCACAGAAATGCACTTGTCATACACTTTCCTATGACAGTGGCACTCAGTGAGACCTGGCAGGAGACGAGACACGGTGGGCTGATTTCTCAGGTACGCTCTTAGGCTTAAACAGAGAAGAAACCAAGGCCTAGTGTGACAACCCTTTGGGGGCAGCCTCCTGTCACTTTTTTTTTTTTTTGGAGGGGAAAAGGCTTGTCGTGATAAACTTGCCGTATACCACCTCCCCAGTGTGAAAATATGGGTAGTGTGTGTGTATGAAAGCCTTAGTATAACTCAGTATTACCTGTTGTGAGGTAATTTTATTTGCTTTACAGCAGGACTCAAGAGACATCTGAGGCAAGAGTAGAAGAGAACAACAAAAACACTTTGGCCCCGGTCACACGGAAGGTTTTGGGCCGGGAGAGGGACGGATTGGGGGTGCAGCAAACGGGCACGATCTCACCGCAACATCTGGGAAGCGGCGCGCACCCGTCCCCGATCCGGCCCTTCAGTCCGAAAATCCGCTGTTAAAATAAACCACCTACAGAGGTGGACTTTCCAGAAAGGACTGCCGTAGGATCGCCTGGCACGTCCTTCTGCCGGCGCATCCGAGGCTCCCAGCCGAACTGCGCATGCGCACACATGCGCAGCCGGCTGCCTCGCTTTGGCCGTGTTTTTTCCTGCCGTGTGGCAGGGGCGCCAGTTTAACTTACGAGAGTTTGCCTGAGCTTCTGAACACAGACAAGAAATACCCTGGCTGGGGCACTTATTTACTTATACCCTAATTAAGGCTTCTATTTATTTCTGAAGTATGCAGTTAGTTGAATGGCTTATATTATCTGATAGTTTCAGTATGAAATATTAAAGATGTTTTCTTTCGTATGATTCTTATCACAACAAACACTGGTATTCATGGTTTATCGTATAACTGATAAGATTGATGAGATAGGATATAAAAATGTTTATTATGAGGTATGACGAAATGGTAGAATGTTGAGCAGGTTGTAACAGCGGTTTTTAAAGTTACAAGGCTATATAATTTTCCTAAAAATTCAAGTATTTGAATCAAGGACTGTCCTCTTTATATTTGCAAAAAAATGCCCTTTATATTATGTTTTGGAAATTTTACCTTTTATTCTTTCCCCTTACCCCTTTTTAAATTCTGTATTCCCTCAAAAAGTTCAAAATAAAAATTATATTTAAAAAAGTTATGTCTGAAGTACACGTTCACTTATTAGAATCACAGAGGCTTTCGCAGTTTTAAACCACTTCTGTGTGACATTGATTCAGCCTGTTATCACTCAGGGTCTTTCCTTACAAACAGGCAGGATCCTGGCAGGCTTCCTTCACCTGAATACCAGATTGGTGACGGTGGAAAGTGCCGTCCAGCCACAGCTGACTTGTGGCGACCCCTGTAGGGTTTTCAAGGCAAGAGACGTTCAGAGTTGGTTAGCTTATGAGATCCAATGAGATTGGGCTAGCCTGGGCTATCCAGGTCAGGGGAAGAAGGAGGAGGAGGAGAAGGAGAAGAGGAGGAGGAGGAGGAGATTGGATTTATACCCCGCCCTTCACTTGGAGTCTCAGAGCGGCTTACAAACTCCTTTCCCTTCCCTCAACAGACACCCTGTGAGGTGGGTGGGGCTAAGAGAGCTCTTGACAGAAACTGCCCTTTTTCAAGAACAGCTGTGCCAGAGCTTGTGACTGACCCAAGGTCACACCAGCAGGTGCAAGTGGAAGAGTGGGGAATCAAACCCGGTTCTCCCAGATTAGAGTCCGCACACCAAACAGATTAGAACTTCTCAAACATGGCAGGGCTTCTAATTTCACCACTTTGCCCTCTCCCCAAGAGACAGACTTTAGTTTTCACTGGACTGCTGGAAGCTGGCGTTTCATCACCAGCTTTTTTTGGAGATTTGATAAAGTTGTGACCTGCTAGAGGCAGGCCTAGACCATCACTCTGCCCTCCTCCTGTGGTAACGCGAAAGGCCCCACATCTGGCACTCTTGCTGCAGCAGTCCTGGAACTGTCAGCTCCTGCACTACCCTCAGCACTCAGTCCCTCTTCCCAAAGACAACTGATGCTGGATTCGAATCATCTCAGGCTCTCATAGGCGACTGGCTGTATCCCATTCATGGGCGAGACAGCCTCCCGTCTGCCACGCCCGCCAAGGCTGACCCTATTCTTTAGCTCTAGCATACATCTGAACATACCCTAAAAGGTTTGGTTGCTCCAAGCGTCATATATAGAGCATAGGTTTATTAGCATTTCTAGATTCTTCTACTTAGCATCCTGTTTACATAGAGGATACAGCTGACATAGGAGGCCTGTATTTGGAATATGTGATACTCGTAAAGAAGAATATCTGGCCACCCAGGAAAAAGGTTCACCCACCTCATTCAGGGCGTCTCTGACCAGCTAGTATCTTCAGGGAAGTGATTTGGCAAAGGCGAGAGAGAGACCAATATAATCAACTGGTCTGAAGTTTCTGACAAGCCACCTATTTGCAGTGGCTTTTAATGTTATACAAGTATTTCATCACAAGAGATGACAGAACATAGGGGACAACTGTTGACTTCAAGTTAGGGTTGCCAGGTACCCTCAGGCAACCAATGGGAGTGGGGTGGGGAGACTCAGCAAGAAAATCAGGCATGCATTGCTGATGACACAATAGCATCATTTCCAGTACATACCGGAAAGATGTCATTGCATCACTGGGAATACAGGGACGCTCTGGTATTTGGAGGGGGTATTTTTAACCTGTAGTTTTTGCCTGAATACCAGAGCATCCCTGTGTTGCCGGCATCATGATAATATCACTTCTGGTGTGCGTCAGAAGTGATACTGCTGCGTTGCTAGGGACACAGGCCAAGACCTAGTTTTCCTGCCATCGTCCCCCTCTGGCCAGCTGACTGGCACCAGGGGGAGGGGCCCCAGAGTGGGGGGATCCCTGACCTCTGGCGGGGGTCTGGCAAATGGAGGTCTTTTTAAGAATCCTCTGGAATTTGCAGTGCCCCAACCAGTCTTGGAACAGAGAAGTGTCAAGATCCCCAGAGGGTATGCCCAAGAGCAATAGTTACTAACCCATGTGGAATGCTGCCTCATACCTTTCTCGGCCTTTACAATGCTCCAGGAGACAAGCTGGAAACTGGTGTTTCATCACCAGTTTTTTTTGAGGTTTGATAAAGTTGTGACCTATCTCAGTCCCAGGTTCATGAATTGGTTCTCCCCCTACTCCGACTGCAGTAGCCACAGCTGAAGAGAAAACCCACTGTTGATTCTTTGGTAAAGAAGAGCTAGTATACAAATGACCATTAAAAACAGCGGCAGGGGTGGTGGTGGAGTTAAATAAGGACTGCATAAAACACTAAATTGTATATTAAATCGTCAAGAAGAAGAAAACCCAACAAATCGTCGATTTAAATCAAGCTTCCAATGTTTTAATTCATATATTTCCTGAGCCAGCATGCCTAGCAATTGATTGTTTTAACAATTAAAGACATATGACATTGCCAGCAAGCATAGCCTTTACATTATCAAGCAACAAGATTCAATACCCTTGTAATGCGGCACAAATGCTTTTATGTTGGGTATTTGTTGATAGCTTGCTCTGAATACTAATATAGTTTTGCTCTTTAATTACAAGAGACCCCTGGCTTAGGGACAAGGGAACAGCTGTGAAATTAAGAATTCCTGTTTGCACCCTCTGGGCATACGCAAGGACACTAAACAGGGGCAATGGCTTAAAAACAGAGTATTGGATCCAAACCCATATTGTACAAGCAGTCATAGACAGATCACTACCAGCGTTTCCTCTAAGCTGAGTTAGTGTGAGCTAGCTCACAGCTTTTTAGCCTCCGGCTCACACATTTTTGTCTTAGCTCGGGAAGGAAGGTTCCAGAGCAAATTAATTTATGCGGCAGCCAAATCGCTCGCTCACAACTTTAATGCCCGTAGCTCACAAAGTAGAATTTTTGCTCACAAGACTCCATAAGCTTAGAGGGAATGTTGATCACTACCTGCACAGGTTCAGACTTACAAGAGTACCAAGACTCTGCAGGGATGGGGGGATCTATTAAGAAGATCCACCCCCATCCCCCACCCCGGAGCCAGATGCATCCAAATGGTTGTCTGACGGCTCTGGGGGATTTTTCTGTTGGCACCGCTGATGCTCTTGTCAATGTCCTGGCTGACCTCTGGAATGAGGAATAGACCTGGGCAGCTGACACAACCACTCCCCAAGCACCCTCTCTCAGGTGTTAGAGCCCGGGAGGCCCCTTGGTTTACTGAGGGTCTGCAGGACTTACAAGAGTACCAAGACTCTGCAGGGATGGGGGGATCTATTAAGAAGATCCACCCCCACCTTCGGAGCCAGATGCATCCAAA